AAGCAATAGGCTAAAGGTCAACAGGTGTTCATGTGAGTCAAAGATGAAGCTGATATACTGCAAGAGGGCGAAGGGGAAACAGAATGAGCGGGAGGGGTCAGGGCAAGCTATTGGGTGGTGTGGTCAGTTGTTGAGGTTATTGAATCCAAAAATGATGTTCTGAAATGTAGACCCCCCCCCACCTCATTCACAACAAAAAGTTAAAAAAACAACAACAACCAACAACCAGAGTTGTGGTTCTTACACCTGGACTGAACACACAATCAACTGGACAAAGCTCAATGCTAGTCTAGTGTAGGAATGCCTCTTTTCTCCCCCTCTGTTAGAATGAATCCTTCCAGTGAGAGAAGCTTTCAAGTCTATGTTCCCCACTGTCTTGTGAACAAGGGTCAACTCTTGGTGGGCAATGAAGGTCACCCTGACTAAGTTCTTTGCCATGAATTACTTTGAAATCCAACACGTGCAATGGAGCCACCAGTTCTCCTGCTGGATAAACCCCCATGTTCAGGATGGATTCTGGACCCTAGCTTGGATTTTTCAAATTACCCATAGTCCCTTCCTTTCAGCTTCTACAGGTGGTCCAAGGCTGTCTGTGACTGCCCAGGGGCTTTGCTAGTGGAATTAGTGGGGATGGAATCTGGGCAATACGAGGCTCTCACTTGGAGGGGCAGGTAGCCCTTACCTGCACAGACCACGCTGGCGTCTTCTCCAGGACCACAGTTATTGAGAGACCACCCCGCGTGAGGGCACTGTCCCAGAAACCGCTCTCTTCCAGTACAGTCCAAATCATCCAGCAGATACTTGCCCGCGCCTTCGCCAAATCGGGCCTCAGTGGGGGCTTCAAGGGCACGCCCACAGCCCAGCTGCCGACACACCACATCGGCTTCATTCATGTCCCACTGGTCATCACAGACCCTGCCCCACTGGCCGTGATAGAAAACTTCCACACGGCCGGAACACTGGCTGGGCCCGTTCACCAGCTGCAATTGTGGCCAGTCTTTGGAAGACACAGAAATACCGTGTGTTAGGAAAGGATCGAATTCCTCATCAGCCCACTCGTTTCACCACTCAGCAAGTGCTTATTGAGCTCACACGGCCACAGTAGGACTCACACTGTGGGTTCCGCTCCCAGGACAGACCTGGTTGTTGTTACAGGGTTCACAGTCCCATTTGAGGAAGTTGGAGGAGGCGGTTACATGGACCCAAACATACGTGTAGACTTAAAGGTGTATGCAGGGCTAAGGGGCAAGGGTAAGAGTGTATAGCCTTTCAGTCGGCATAACAAGGGAGAAGATTCTAGGATGTCTTCTCTTAAGAGCATGATGATGGACCCAAGGCCTGGAAGGACAGAGAGCAGACAAAGCGCTGTGGGCAGGAGGGGAGACCCTTCCCATCAAAGGGAAATGCATGTGCAGAGGTCTGATGGCCACAGGGAGCGAGGGTCTTTGAAGACTGAAAGTGAACCAGTGTGCAGAAGCCACCAGACATTGTTGGGGATGTAAGTTGGGATTTTTATCTATATATAGGCCCTTTGAGGGTGAGGCAAGCTGATAATCATAATTACACAGTGTACTGTATAGTTACAGCAACTTGTAAAAAATTAGCATTAGCCCCACCCACAAAGAATGCACTTTGGAGGAGAGAGGCGTGTCTGAGCAGAGCACACAGGAGCAAAAGAAGGGAGAGGGAGAGAGAGTGGAGCACATCCTGGCCCACCAAGCTCTGAGGACGATATCCCTGCTCAGAGCAGCCAATGCACAGAGGACCACAGGGCCGGCCCCACCACAAGACACAACATCCCTCACTGACCCATAGCACTAGGGCGTCAACATTGGAGACACAGTGTGGGAATTGTGCTTGATCTGACCCCACCACACTGGGGTGAAACACTAAAGGTGTGCAAGGGGAGCAGAGCAACGAAGTCCCCGCAGAATAACAAACAAACAAACAAAACCTTTGGGGGCAGGGCGTGGCACCTCATCAGACTCAACTGGAAAACACTCATAAAGATCAACAAACAGACCTTGATCTATTTATTGGCCTTTTTGCTATATATTTTGTGTATTTTATTGTCTTTGCATGCCTATCTAGATAAGATAGGTGGGATAAACAATCTGGAGGGGAAAATAATGGGACCAATTTGGTTGAGGGGAGTGCACAGGATATGGGGGAATGTAAGCGGGAGCCAACAAACCCATTGATGAGGGAGCAACAAGTGATCTAAAATTGATTACAAGGAGGGTGTAGGATGCCTTATAGGGCTTGAATCAGGTGCAATGTAGCCAAGAGTAATTAATGAAAGCCAAATGAAGGTTGAACATGATAATGAGAAAAGTAAAAGAAAATAAAGGAAAGAACTAGGAGGCAAAAACCATTTATAGAGGTCTAAATACAGGCACACATATATGTACATATACTTATATATAACAATAGGAACATAGATCTATGTACATTTATACATTAAGTATTAAGGTAGCAGACAGACATTGGACCTCTACTCAAGTACTCTCTCAACACAAGAAAACTCTGTTCTAATAAGCCAGCATTCTGTGATGCTCACCTTTCTGACAGGATTGCTGAAGACAAAATGGGTGCATAAGCAAATGTGGTGAAGAAAGTTGATGGTGCCCAATTAAAAGATATAGCGCCTGGGGTCTTAAAGGCTTGAAGATAAACAAGCGGCCATCTAGCTCAGAAGCAACAAAGCCCACATGGAAGAAGCACACCAGCCTGTGTGATCATGAGGTGTCGATGGAATCAGGCATCAAAGACCAAAAACATCATAGCATTTTGAATGAGGGGGAGTGCAGAGTGGAGACCCAAAGCCCATCTGTAGACAATTGGATATCCTCTCACAGAAGGGTCACAAGGAAGAGACAAGCCATCCAGGGTGCAGTATAGCACAGACGAAACATACAACTTTCCTCTAGTTCTTTAATGCTTCCCCCCCTCTACTATCATGCCCACAGTTCTACCTTACAAATCTGGCTAGACCACAGCATGTACACTGGTAGAGATAAGAGCTTGCAACACAGGGAATCCAGGACCAATAATGAGAGTAGTGATACCAGGAGGTAGGGGGTAAGGTGGGGGCAGAAAGAGGAAACCTATCACAATGATCAACATGTAACTCCTCCCTTGGGGGGATGAACAACAGAAAAGTGGGTGAAAGGAGACGGCGGTGACTGTAAGACATGAAAAAAATAATAATTTATAAATTATCAAGGTTCATGAGGGAGAGAGGGAAAAGTGAGGAGCTGATATCAAGGACTCAAGTAGAAAGAATATATTTCGAAAATGATGATGGCAGCATATGTACAAATGTGCTTGACACAGCAGATGTATGGATGGATTGTGATAAGAGCTGTAAGAGCCCCCAATAAAATGATTAAAAAATTATCATTAGCGTGCTTACAAAGATACCTGTGGGGACCCAGATGGCCAGGCTGGCAAATATCTATAAATACATGTATTACATGCACTTTATTAATATCGCAAAGGAGCCCTAATGGCATAGTGGTTACTCGTTGGCTTCAGGTCAGCAGTTCAAAACCACCAACTGCTCCATGGGAGAAAGACAGGCTGCTTACTCACGTAAAGAGACAATCTTGGAAACCCACAGGGACAGTTCGACTCTGTCCTATAGGGTTGCTATGAGTCAGAACTGACTCGATGTTGGTGAGATGTTTTCTTTCTTTTTTTAAAAATTTTGCCTTTAAACGTGGAATATCAAATGAGTACTAATGCAAGAAGGACTGCCTAGGAAGTTCCTTGTCTGACTGTATGTGTCACAAGTCACTCTTTAGACATAAAAGGCTATTCTTCCCAAGTAGACATTAAGTTCCTTCCGGTCACAAATTAGCTATTCTTACAGCCTCTAGGACACTCAATAGGTCCCTGGGAGGCATGAGTCGCTTGGATTCGATTGCCAATCTCAAGGTTGGTGGGTCAAACCCACCGGTGGTGCTGCGGAGGAAAGGCTTGACAAGCCAAGACACCCCGGCGAGGACATTCTGCTCTGTAACACACGGGGTCACCGTGAGCCAGAATCTGCTCTGTGGCCGTGGGTTTGGTTTGGATTGGGCTTAGAGTCATGCTACCAACTGAGTCAACTTTTCATCGATTGAATCATGATCTCTTGGCGAATTCAGAATGCTCTAAGCTTATAATGAGTGAAGATGAAGCATTTCAAAAATGTTACATATCCCAGAGTGATGACAGTGAGCGGGGACACTGCAGTTACAATATGCAGTACGTATCGCAGCATTATTCTAAGCATTTCCGTCGCTTTTCATAGGAGCAAGCAGAATACTGCAAAGAAACTCGGAGAAGACTCTTCAGACCTTCAGCACCCCTCTCTGGGGCTCCGGGAACAACCTCGCACCCGGGCCTCCCACCCAATGGCCTCTGCGACGTCAGGTGCTTCCGACTCAAGTTGATTCACTCAGCAAACCTTTATGGAGAATCCATATAAAGCTTGGTGTGGCTGATAGATAGGTGGTTTTAAAAATTCTTATCCTCTGCTGGCAGTTCAACTACCTGACAAATACCAGTTCAAATAGCCTGACACTCATGCTCTGAATGGTCCCAGAAAGAAAATGAACTTGCAAACTCCTTCCCCAGCCACCTCTCAAAATGGTGTGTGGCGTGTTTCCAACGGCCTCTGAAGTGTTCTCAGATATCCCCATACCTTCTGAGCTTCTGTTGCATTGAATTTCTACTCCTTATTAGGCACTCAACTGCCATCAGTCAATACTGACTCCTAGGGACCCCTGTGGGATTCTGAGACTCTAACTGTTTACAGGAGTAGAAAGCCCAGTCTTTCTCCTACGGAGCTGCTGGTGGTTTTGAACCACCAACCACGTGAATCACAGTCCAATTTGTAACTTCTCCATCTCCAGGACTCCATTAACACACAGTAGAAAGTATGAAACCAAACCAAACTCACTGCCAGCGAGTCCATTCCACCTCATAGGACTCTCTGAGACCGACTAGAACTGCTCCGTGGGGTTTCTGAGACGAAATCTTTGTGGGAGCAGACTGCTGCGTTGCTCTCCTGGGAAGCAACTGGGAGCTTGCATCACAGACCTTGTAGTCAGCAGCCTGGCGCTTAACCCACTGCAACCTCAGGGCTCCCTAGCAAATATTCACTCGTGTTGAATGGTGAGTGCTATCTTTTGGGTGGTTTCTAGTGAGGTGAGACAAAGCCAGGATTTACGTGAGAAGACTGTAGATTTCCAGGTGAAATGATTTCATTTGGAAGTATTTGTGTGGTTGTTAATCTACTTACTTTAAAGCACCTGGCTCATAAAGCTTCATCAAACTAGGACTTACAACACTCTGACTTACCTCCAGGAAATGGAGTTAGGTCTTCAGCCTCTAAGAGCAGAGAGAAAGAAATGAGATGTCGTTGCTAGGAAGTTGGTCTGCCCAAGTTTATTGGGAGAGGGTCAGTGTGCACAAGGTGGCCTCATGAACCAGAGGCTGAGCCAAGGGCACTCTTTGGGTAATGTGTTTGGCAGGTTCTTTCTGATCAAAGGCAAGAGAGAAATTGGTCATGGATTTGGTGATAGTAGAGGTTATTCTTTTAAATTCGATTATTGGCGTGAACCAGCACCCCTATGGGCAGCAAGGTACACGGTGAACTGGTCAAGTGCTCATAGGAGTGTATTCCTGTGGCATTTAAAAAAGGACTTCAAAGAGAGAGGGTGGAAACACTAATGAACAAGAAAGGGTGTGCCTCTTTCCATTCATCGGGAAAGGGGAGGTAGGCTAAGGCCACACACATGTCTGAGGTTGTTAAGCTTTTCTTTAGCTCCCTCTCATCTCTGAATGACAATTTATTACATCATGCTCATATTTCTCAGATACATTTGAGCAGCGACAACAGAAC